GGGGGAGGGGGGGGGGTGGAATTGCGAGGATGTTGATTGGACTACGTTTGGATTAAGATTTGGATTTTGGTTGGGCCTTCACACCGAATGTGATCGGACTCCGATCTGATGAATACGATCGGACTGCCATTCGGACTTGCATTTCACAAAAGGGTTTTTTAATACGAGGTTGAGACGATTGTGAATCGGATCCAGTAGGACCATGGTTGGATCTGGTAAGAATTAGACTCAGATTTTTTTATTTAATTTTGATTCAGATATTACTGTAATGAGATTTTTACTTATTAGATTGGGGTGGTTTTATCATTTGATTGGAGATAGTATTCTGCCTGTCCTTTGACTGGATTTTGATTTGTGGACTTCATTTTCTCCCATTCAGTTGGATTTCATTGGATTTTGATTGGATTTGTGTTCGTTGATTGGCTCGGATTGAATTGATCCGCATGACGTTGCCTGATTAGGTGTGATTGGACACATCATCAACACATGGATTGACGTGATTAGGTATGACTGGACACATCAACTGGAATCCACTTTACGAATTCCACAAGTTCCTTTTCGAAATTTTTTTATTTTTATTTTTTCTCCCCAGAGTCTACTTTACATCTTCCTCTGCGATTTCCCTTAAGACTATACAGATACGTCTCGGCGCAATTTTTTTTCCGTCTATTACAGGTCAGACTATATTTTCTGTTTTCCAGCAGTTTCTTAATAAAATTTCCCTTAGGTACAAAAAAAAACAACACTACCTGTCTTCCCCCCAATAGAACGTACGGTCATTACGTCTGTATTTGGCCCAACCGTCAGTCCAGATGCCACGAAAAAAAGACAGTAAGTACGTTATATTCGGGTGAAGACGGTAGGGTTTCCTGGATGTATCTTTTCACCTACTACGTCCACATTCCTTCGAGAACTTTCTACCAAAGTGTGACTACATTTTTCCTTTACAAACTCACAATTTTTCCCCGCAAGTAGGACTTCCTGGATTACTTACCATGACTTCGCTTCTCGCTCTTTTCCACACTTAACTTATTCCGTTTGAGCTCTTTCCGTTTAAGCCCGTTCCGTTTGAGCGCGGGCTCGAACGGAATTCAAAGTGGGCGGCGAAGCGGGGAAGCTTCATTCAAAAAAAAAACTCCACCTCAACACACGCCGACCGTTAGATAGAGCGCCGACATAAAGTCTTAATTGATCTTACGGCGGTAGTTTTGAGTATTGCCCTTGCTACTTTCTTTGATCTTATTTGGCCTTTCTTTCTTATTTGCTTCTTCATCCAGCCTAACTTATCCGGAAAAACTGTCAGCTTATGAATGTGGTTTTGAGGGCGGCCGTAAGGTCACCTATAGTTATCAAAGCGTGCGACCGAACTTCACACTAGGGGCATAATTTACCCTCTTTTTTTCACCCTATTTCGTTCCGCTTGTGAGCGCCCGCCCTACCTTAGCACAGGCCGATCCAAAGTGTGATATAGATAGCCGTGATGGGCAACGAGACCCCTCAACTTGTCCAATCTTCGGCGCAATTGCTCTTCGAGAGGGATCTCCTCCCCGCTGTGCTCTTCCTGCTCCTCTCTCTGCTCCGCTTCCCGCTCACTCTCTATGCGTCTTCTCCTTGTCATCTCGTCCTCAGTCTCCGTCGATCTTACGCCTCTTGTAGGGTTCCCCAGCAGGCCTTCAGTAACTCTTCCCCCCCACTCCTTCTCCTCCTCTTCCTTCTCATCTTTTGATGGACTCGAGACGCTGGTTAATCTGGCCAACCCTTCGACGACACCTCGATTCCCGCCTCCAAGCTCCTCCTCATCGGGGGGTGCAAAGTGCTCCACGTAGGATCGCTCATCGTTTGCCACATGGCGATCCAGTTGCTGCTGCCGATCTACGACGGCAAAGATTGAACCCTCCTTCCAATCAACCCCCTCCTTCCCCGCAACCTCTCCCTCCTTGCGATTCCCAGATGATGCCATCACCTCCACTCTGTCTCCCCACTCCTCTCCCTCTCCACACCGTTTCTCTTCGCTCTCCCGTCCGCCATCGCCGTGATCTCGCGAGACGAAAGACGGCACAGCTGACCGGTCATTATTGGATCGACTAGAAAATTCGCGGCCACCTTTCCTAAAGTGGAAAACGGGTCGAAAACCCGACGAAGGACCAGCGCATCGCCAGCAGCTGCAGCGACGGTCCGCCGCGACAGCAGCGGCAGCGGCAGCGGCTCGGTCACAGAGCCGGCAGCACCACCGTGCGCGTGCCCATCCCGACGCGACTGCAGCCGTGGGAAGCCGCGACCGCGACCGCGACCGCGACCGCGACCCAGCGCTTCGCAAGCCGACGCGTGCCACCGACGCCGAGATCAAGCAGCGGCAGACAACGGCGAAATCGTCGTCGCCGCCGCCGACGCTGTACAATGCGGAAGCAGAGACGATCCGGCCGCTGGCGGCGGCGGCGGGGATCTGAAGAAGCCGGCTATGGCGACTGGAAGCCGACGAAGAAAACGAGGAAGACGACGAGAGAGAGTGGCAGCCCCGGCAGAAAAACGTTTTTCTCCCGGATGATGAGAAAGCAGAGCTCAAAGAAGAGTCGCGATTGCGAGAATGGTGGTGGTAACAGTGATGGCAGAGCCAGGAGGCGGAGGAGGAGGAGGAGGAGGAGGAGAGCGTGATCCGTACCGCGTTCGCCATAGCCAATCTGAGACGGAGCGAGGGTTTTCTTTCTTCTTTCTCTCTCCGGATAAAAAAACGATCCATGGACCTCAGCGGAGGCCTTCTCTCACCCTCCTGACCTTCGTTGAGATTTGGCCATGGCGGCTGCCGCAGTGTAGCAATATGATTAGCTTGCCGATCAATGTAAGAGGCGGGAGAATGCAGTCGTGCTGCCATGGATGTCACAACGCGTGATGCCATGGATGGCGCCTTCCTTATCGATCGACATGGTCCGCCCCTGGAGTGAAAACGTGACTGCTCTATCAATCGACAAGTCCCAACTGAGCTAGATGTGTTGGCCGTGCCCGCAGCGATGAATAACTGTCCAGTTGCTGGCACAACCTGCGCTCCCATCGTTAGCGAAGTGTTGTTGATTTCACAAACTCCTTTTTCCACGTGTCCCTCCCGGCCGCATAGATTGGCCAATTGACCGCCACGTGTGCTCTTAATGTCTGTCAATAACAACCTATCTAACAATCTCAACCCAAAACTATAGCATCTCCTTGAGTTGCGCATATGCATGATGCGAAGAAACACCAAGCTTCCCACATCGCCACCTCTCTCTCTCTCTCTCTCTCTCTCTCTCTCTCTCTCTCTCTCTCTCTC